CATGATGTGGTTTGCCCCAGTCTAGGCAGGGTGGCAGAGATGGAAACTGGGTGGGAGACTTTAGGGAGATCTGCCATGCTTTCTTCATTAAAAATGAAAAAAAAAAAAAGACTAGAAGTAAATATTAAAAATCTGGGCCAGGCACGGTGGCTCATGCCTGTTATCCCAGCACTTTGGGAGGCCAAGGGAGGCAGATCGCTTGAGCTCAGAAGTTTGAGACCATCCTGGCCAACACGGTAAAACTCCGCCTCTACTAAAAATACAAAAATTAGCTGGGTATGGTGGCGGGCGCCTATAGTCCCAGCTACTTGGAAGGCTGAGGCATGTGAATCACTTGAACCTGGGAGGCAGAGAGAGGTACAGTGAGCTGAGATCACGCCATTGCATTCCAGCCTGGGCAACAGAGAGAGACCCTGTCTCCATTTTTATTAAAAATTAAAAATCTGAGTAATAGTAATATAGGTGTTTCTGTATCATTTACGATACTTTTCCGTATAATTTTTAAAAATTTAAATGGGGTAGAGTGGTGTGCAGGCATGGCCTCTGCCTCCTTAAGAAGCTCATTGTTTAGACTTCAGCCTAGTTTATTTTTGCTGGCTGCTAGCAATCACTGCTTCTTTTTATAAGTGTTTATGCTCACAAAGCACCCAATGAATATCTGCCTGCAGATGTCAAGCTCTGCAATCTGCGGTAGCCACTTTCTCGTCCTTTAATAACAGTAATAATGGTATCTGCCTTTATTTTACCTCCTAGCACTTCTCCCGATCTTACAGCTCCTCTCCGATCAACAGTGGAATGAGAGGGGGAAAAAAAAAAAACATAGCAGTCTCATGAGAGCTAAAATGACCCCTGCAAGATGAAAGAGCAAACTACAAGAGAACCAAGGTCTCCAGACTCCCCAGTGATAGCACAGCCATTATTCCTCAGGAAAAGAAAACCACGAACAGCATCTGGAGAGGTCAACGACTTCCGCAACCACCCTGCCTGTCCCTTCTGAGAAAGGACCAAATCCTACCATTCCACAGCAAGGCAGCTCACGTGTAATCTCCGGAGTTCTTTCTGGATCTTCTCTGTGACTTAATCCAAACAGTGAGACATCTGTTTGGAGTCAAAAATTCCACCATTCCACAACATACCTAACCCTCAACAGGACTTGCTTTTACAAAATGGTTTCAAAGTAACCTAAGTTCCACACTGTGAATCTACATTTTTCTGGCTATTTATAATAATTTTTTGTCAGTTGCCTCAAGTTTACTTTAATCAACTGTAATAGACCAAAATATATAGGTTAAGCCTACGACATCCTCCCCTGTGATGCGGTCAATGTCAGGGGTATTTTAGTGAGCACAGTTTTTTTTTAAGAGATGGGGTCTCACTATGTTGCCCAGGCTGGTCTCGAACTCGTGGTCTTATGAGATCCTCCCACCTTGCCCTCCCAAAGTGCTGGGATTACAGGTGTGAGTCACTGCACCCCGCCAGTGAGCACAGCTGACCACAAGCTGCTTTTCAGGTCCATGATAAAAGGAAAATATTATAAGATTAATGAGATTTACTAATTAGATATATGCACTGATAATGTGTTTTATTTTAATGAAAAGCCATGAGATTTATAAGTACCCTTCTCTGCATCAAAACAATAAACCTGAAATCCTAAAGTCTAACATTATGTGTAATTATTTCTAGAAAAAAAAAGGTTATACCTGCCTTAAACTTTGGCACACATTTTGCTAGGAAGACACTTCAGCAGTTACATTTAGTAACAAAACAAAGATCCACTGCCTCACTCCAGTTAACACGTGCCTCTTCCAGAAATACCAGCAACCAGTAATGTAGAGGCTTCCACTTAAAGGGAAGTCTGCTGGAGTGAACAACAGATGTTTGCATGATTGAGGTATCCTTTAACGAATGGCGGCGTGAACTGATTTTTTAACCTAAAAACAACAGTTAAACGGGTTGTTTCACCATCAAGTCAAACTAGTTTTTCGCCAACTTTCTTAAATGGAAACTGTGTACTTAAAAAGAAATGCAATATAAACAATAGGGTGAGAATATAATTAAATACTAGCTAAGAAGATACAGTTTTGTGAAAAGTATACAAAGCAATCACATTGGGTGATTGAGCATTCCAGAAGCTCATCTGTGGAGGGTCCGTCCAGATTACACTGCTCTACTGCCCTGAGAGCCGATTCTGGCTGTACACCCCACGGAACCAGACACACCTAGGGTCAGACCTTCTTTCTATCACTTTCTAGTCATCTCATACAGCTGGATTAAGTAATTTGCTAACTGCCTGCGTGTCTTCATGTCAAACAGGGCTATTAATACTCACTTCCTTCCCTGTAGCTGTAGTGTGGACTAAATGAGACCACAGAGAAAAACGCGGTCTACAAAGGGTGCTCTTCACTGCTCCCAAGCACCAACCCTGAGCTTGTTTTCAGTTTAGAAGCTACAGGCTTATTTCCCCTGAAATGACAACAGCATACGGCAATAATGGACGTCCGATCGGTCCTATTATTTCTCTGCACAACTGTCTGCAAACCAATGGGACTTCATTACCGATTTAAAAAGGGAAAAACAGGAATGGACAAAAGATAGATTTTGTCTATTTTAGGGAGAATGTTGCAGAATCACAAAAGAGGCAACTTGAGATAAATGCATATTATGAGGCGCAACAAAAATAAGACATTTTACAAGTCTTGACGTTCGAGTTTTTAAGTTTAACTGACACCAACTTAAGGAAAGAACAGCCCAGTAGAAGGGAAAAACCTAACATGGTAGCCAACCGCTGGACATCCAGTTTAGGAGTATGAGATTTCCTGGAACATTTACCTCCTTTTTCCATAACTCACACACAGGGTTTGGGAAGAATGTTTTTCAAAATTTTTGGTACTCTGAAACAGCAACCAAGCTGCCAACGGAAGCCTCCCTACACAGAAGCTTGCCAGGACAAACAAAGGGGCAAATTCAAGCCATGACTGGCCATCTGCCACAGCATAAAGCAAGAGATAAACTAGTTGGCAAACTCTTTCCCTAGCCCACAACACTTTTCACGTTCTCCTTTAAGTAAGAGGTTCAGGCTACCCAGTGTCCCTACAAAACTCCAGTCCTCTTAGAACTTCGCTTTAGTGAGCTGGAGTTCACCCCCACACAGCGAAGTCTTAGCCATCAGTGAAATCTCACTGAAAAGGAGAGTACAGCAACATGACTGGTTAAATCAGAAAAAAACAAAAAATGACCATTTCCCATTTCCCAAAAACAACAGGAACACTTTTGTCCATCACGAACCCTCACGGACACCCGAATTCTGCAGTCTCTGAAACAACTCCTCGTGAAAAGGAACTAGGACTCTTAAGACATAGCTAATTCCACATCATCAAACAGGAAAAGAAAAACCAGGATGGGTCTGCAAGCATGGAAACAGGGTAAGAACGCAAGAGTGCTTTCAAGGATGTCAGGGGAGAATGCAGAAAAGGCGAAGAAAACAGCCTAACACGGTACCCAGGAGCCAGGCTGTGACAATGTAGACATTAAGAGAAAAAAAATTATATTTAGTGGATATACATTTGGAAAAAAAAAAAACTTATTCCAAAAAAGTTGAAATGCAAAAAGATAAAGACAAGGAATATGATTAATTTTGTGTCAATTTGGGTGGTTGTTGTTTTGTTTTTGTTTTGAGACAGAGTCTCACTCCGTCACCTAGGCTGGAGTGCAGTGGCCCGAACTCGGCTCACTGCAACCTTCCCTCCCCGGTTGAAGTGATTCTCCTGCCTCAGCCTCCTGCGTAGGTGGAACTACAGGCACGCACCACCATGCCTGGTTAATTTTTGTATTTTTAGTACAGACGGGGAGCGGAGGGGAGAGGGTGGCAGTTTCACCATGTTGCCCAGGCTGGTCTTGACCTCCTGAACTCACGTGATCTACCAAAGTGCTGGGGTTACAGGCATGAGCCACTGTGCCCAGCAATTTTTTCTCAGTTTGAATAAGTAGAAGACAGTCAATACAACAGTTATTTCCTTCATCTAATAAGTATGTCTGCTTACATAGAAACTTTTGTCTATCTTTGTGTGTAATAATGATGGAAGGAAAAAGGAAGTTCTGTGCAAACCCACAGTTTTGGAGCAAAATAAGAAGTATAAGAAGAACGGGGGGTGGGGAGGAAGATAAGCACAGTGGTCACAAAAAGAAGTTGGGTTAAAAAAAAAAATCAGTCATCTATTGTAAAATAACCAAGATGCTAGACTAGATCTCTTGTCTGAGGAGGAGAAAAAAACTCTAAGCGGCCTTCTGATCAGAAGATTCCAACAAGAAATGCTTAAGTTTGCAATCTCTCTACTAAGTCGATATCACGACAAGTGGTTGGTAAGGAACGCTGTTCCATAGGGGAAACACCAGCCTGGGAAAAACTATAACCTATATGATAAATCTGAGCTCAAAAGTCCTCATTAAACTAACAAGTTAATTTGGAAAAAAAAAAAAAAGACCCAGACAACAAGTAACCTAGATTTAAATTATGTCAGGGAAGCAACCAGGTTCCTGGCGCCCACTCAATGCTCAGTCAATAATCCTGATCACATTTGACACGAATCGTCCCAGAAGACGTTCACTTTTTTATTTTCCAGCGTGGTAAGATTTCTAAAATCCCACAAAGGTATAAAAATAAGAATTACTCTTAACCTTAGGAAGGTTTAGAAATGAAGAAATTAATGAAAAAGCCCATAGTATTGATAATATGTTTACATATAGATATGGTAGTTTTACAATATTTGTACTTATTTCTTATATTGATGGAGGTGTTTGAAGTTCAGAAAAAAAAATCAGCTATCCACTTAAGTAACTTACAGGAGAAAAAAAGACATGTGTTCACACATGCATAAGTACCACGCTAGCATCAATCATGGCTCACTGCAGCCTCGACCTCCCAGTCCTCAAGCAATCCTCCTGCCTCAGCCTCCTGAGTAGCTGGGACCACAGACAAAAGCCACCACACTCGGCTAATTCTTACATTTTTTTGTGGAGATGGAGTCTGACTTTGTTGCCCGGGTTCATCTCAAGGGATCCTCTTGCCTCAACCTCCCAAAGTGTTGGGATTATGGGCATGAGTCAAAACACACAGCAGGATATTTTATAGCAAGTAAAATTTAGGATAAAGTAGTAACATAATGACACTCTTCACCACAAATTCCTACCGAGCCCTTCAGATCTCTTGTCACCTTTACTGCTACCATCCCTGCTCCCAGCTCTAACAGTCCCTGT